TGTATATAGAAATAATTTGTAGGATTTTATTACGTATGTCTATTTTTATCTTTTATCTATGTAAGCCACCCCGAGTAGACTTTGTCTAGGGGGGCGGGGTATAAGTCTAATGAAAGTTAAAAAGTAAGTAAAAATGTATTTTCTTGATTTGGAATAAAAGAAGTCCTGTCTTTTATTTTTTATTATAACAAAGGCACACCCATGCTACCTTATAACAGTAAGTTGAAATGTGACTACATAGCAGGAGAAATGTGAATGGATGTGTTGTGAAGTTGCACCCAGGAAGCTGGGTTTCCCTGGGTTACTTCATTTTGGCTAACCACATATAAGGCAGCAAAGAGAGGAGAGGAAACTGGCATTGGCCTTCTTTGCAGCTTGTTAGTTTTGCTCTGGCTGTCCAGATTTGCAGGAAACATGGTTAAAGCAGAACTACCTTAACAAGCCAGAGGCAAGGCTGACTGATAAGTTCCTCTGCTTTCTTTGCCAATTCCTTGGGGTTTTCCCCTTTTTGTCTCCAGTGGGCTCTAGCACTTGGGCAGCAAGATTTTAAAAGGAAAGAAAAAAGAAAAGAAGTGGAACAGGAAAACAAGAAGACCCAGATTACCGGTGGGTGGGGGGTGGAGAAGATTCATACAGCAGCCAGTTTCCCTGCCTTTCTCACAATTGCTGTATACAGCTGGAAAGGTTTCAAATATGAGAGTTCTCCATATCAGCTCAAGTGGCACTGAACTGATGTGAATGCATTTGATTCCAAAAATGTAGAAGCCCCAGAGGTAAAGGAGAAAACTATGGATGGTGGGAGTGCTGGGATATTTCTCATTGTCTTGTACATCAGATCCATATCAGAAAATAATGTGGATCTGACTATTCCAATCCTGGAGCATTTCCTGCATTATCTGTCAAATTACTCACCCCCTTAATGAAGAGAACAGCACCATTTTGCAATGTAGTTAACGTTTAACCTACTTTTATCATTATGTAGATAAAGAAAACTATCATATACTTCAGATATTGGCTTGTGATTTGCCTCATTGTTATGGGTGTTAACGATGATATGAGTTAGGCAAAAATCTTTCAGCATTCAGATTATTTAAAAAAACCCTAAAACAACTATTTTTGTTAGTCCTGTAGAATAAAAATAAAGCATTATTAAGAATGAATAATTTTTTATTAATTAAGTTTTTAATTAGAGAAAGGCATGGACCACTGCACAGCTGTTCTGTGGGCACCCACATTCCTGAAGAAAGGAATGGTAAGCTGAGAATACTCTGAAAACCCTGAAAAGGGTCACCATAGGTCAGAACAGACTTGATGATACACAGTTACTGTACTGTATGGAAACCACCATTATACATGGAACATATTTAAGAGATGTCAGTATTTTAGTACATACCGTTTCCTTCATTTGGATTTGATTGATCTTTATTCTGAACAACTTATGCTTGAAATCAGCATTAAAGATTAATTTGTCTCCATCTTCTACATCTTTGCCTCTTGGAATTTTATTCAACACTCTTGCTTTACCACAAGCTAGTGACTGCAAGGTTCTTTTCAACTCATTTTCCTCTGTAAAACAAGAGTGAATAACAAAAACACAGTGGTAATATATTTATAATTTTCATACACTGAGAACTCAGAACACAAACTGGAAGCAGTTTTTTATAACTACAGAATACATGCTGGATAGACAACCTCAGGGGGACGTTCTAGTTTAGTCCAGAGCAAGGTTTCCTCTGAGGTGCAACTCTGCCCACCTCCATGCACTGACAGAGATCATTTTCAGCCTCTTTGGTTCTGGTCACAATGGAACCTCATGCGGGGGAAAGGAGGCATGTGTGTGAGAGCCAGAGGCCCACCAAACAGGGCTGAAAACTAGAGGGAACAGTGGTCCAGAGTATGCCATTCATTTAACTGGGTAAGGTACTGAGGCCTATCCTGAAGCAATAAATTAGAAATTGTTATTATTTACCTTTTTTGTCATGATGCTATGTTTCCACCTTTTAAAGCCAGAAGACTCAGAAACATACACAAAGCAACCAATACAGAATTTTGCTGCATTACTCGTCTTAGTCAAACCCAGCAGTGCTACTATGAACACTTGAGCCTCACAGCCCCACATTTCCTTTGTTTTATAGATCAAGTTAGAAGAAAGAGTAAGGGAGAATGAACTAACATTATCATAAGCTAGTGCTTTATTGCTCTAATGGAACACATTCAGATCAGAGTGTCATCAAGGCTACCAACATGAATTTGGCCAGACTCTGTGAGGCAGTGGAGGACGGGGGTGGGGCTGGCATGCTCTGGTCCATGGGGTCACGAAGAGTCGGACACGACTTAACGACTAAACAACAAAATTCATACCTATACCAGTAGCCATTTTTATTTCTTCAAAATTAAATTCATCTCCTTCGTTGAACATCAGAAGCACAAGTGTTTGGAAAAGTGATACCTGAAACTCCTTCTTCCCCTAAAATGGAAAAATCACACCATACATGCAATGAATGCAGAGATACAAACACATTTGTTTGACTTTAAAAATCTTGTTCTCCCTAGCGCTGTACCAAACACAAAATATGCCAAAATAATCTGGCCCATACCAGATGCCTAGTATGTGTATCTAGTCAGCTAGATAGAATAAACAAGTTTTGAGAGTATACTGTATTACAGCATATTACATCTATATAAAATGCTACAGAAAAGAACAACACCATTAGACTTGAAGTAATGTGATTAAGTCCTTATTAAGACCTCCTACCCAAGTTTGCTTTTTATCTCCACAACTCCCATCCCTTATTCTTTTGTCTCCTGATTTTTATATTATAAGCTTCAGGAGAAGAACCAACTTCTCCTAGGATTATGAGACTGCTTTGTGTCAAGTCAGACCATTGACCAATCTAGCCTAGTATTGTCAATCCTGACTGGTAATGGCTTTCCAAAATCTCAGACAAGATTTTTTCTAGCTGTGCCTGGAGATAGGGAGTGAGCACAGGACCTTCTGCATACAGAGCACATGCTTTGCCACTGAGATACAGTAAACTGCACTGTAAGCTTCTTGATGAGGCTTTTTACCTGGACAGCAGGATGAACATTATCAATAATACAAAGTTAAGAATCAAACTGAAAACAGTTCTACCTCCTTCAGATTCTGTTTTTTTGGGTTCCATATTACCATATCAGAGACAAAAAGTCATCATAAGATTTTCTTACATAGTGATAGCTTTGCTTTTCAGAATTTAGGTCATATGTTCTTATGAAAAGTAATCCTACAAAAAAACCAAGTGACCACATCCTGAAACCACATTAATAATAAGCTGTTTTGAAGATAAGCATAGAATGCAGGTTACATATTCCAAATCCAGTCTGGTGATCAGGCTCTATTACCCACAATGGGAAGGATAGATAATGTAATTATGCATCAAGTGGTAGGAAAATAAATTAGGAAAAAAGCTGTCTTCCCTCCTGATGACCTCTTCCAAACATCATTTTTAGAACTTCACTGGTGGGAGAGGGTATCCTCCTAAAGCTACAGACTCAAGAGTTCTCTTACTTATGCACAAAACAAGGAAGATTCGCATAAAACACATGTTTATATTAAAAACATTCACTTTCCCAAAAAGAATTTGTGAGAAGATTCAGGTGTTGCCACCCCACACACACTTTTGGGCCCTGATACAAGCACCCTTGAGTCTTTTGCTTGCTTCAAACTTCCAACGTTTATTAACAATTGCCAAATGATGGCATTTTCAGCATTTTCTTTTTTTAACTTCTGTTGTCCCTCCAACGGGGAGAGGAAAGGGTTCTATGAACTTCCCCCCAACTTGCCTATCTCTACATCATTTTCCAGTCATGGGACTTCTCATTTCAACTCCAGTTCTTGTATGTATTCTGTTGGCAACAACATCTGCAGCAGTGACACCAGATCCTTCTCCCACCACTCTTCACCTCCCTTTGTCTTTTGGTCCCTCTGGGGTCTCTGTCCAGACTGGGGAAGGGAATTTAATCGCCTCTCCGGTTCTTTGCTGCTTTCATGCCTCTGAATCTGAACTTGTTCTCATCACTTCCCTTCTCGTCTTTATATGTACGATGGCTTCTTAGAGATCATCTCAAACCTCTCTTCCTCTCAGCCTCCTCTCCATCTCTCCCATTTTCCAGTCCACTGATTTTTTAGTTCTGTCTACTCCCACCCCTCGGGTAGTACCCTGTTTCCCCTAAATTAAGACCTAACCTGAAAATAAGCCCTAGTATGATTTTTCAGGATGCTCGTAATATCAGTCCTACTCCAAAAATAAGCCCTAGTTAACTGAAACCCCGCCCTCCACCATTGTGCATGACATGACTGCATTTGAATAAATGTAGATTGTTGTATGGGGGGGGGAACTTCCCCTGAAAACAAGCCCTAATGTGGGTTTTTTGGAGCAAAAATTAATATGTTTTATTTTCGGGGAGACAGGGTATATGCTCTGGCTCCTTTTCACTTTCTGTCCATCCAATTTCTTCTCCCTCTTTTTTCCTGTCCCTCCTTTATATACCTCCCTCGCCTTCTCCTCTTTCCCCTCCTTCTCCTCTCTGTCTTTTCCCACCCTTTTTTTCAAGCCCACACTTTCAGTTCCTTCTTTTACTCCTTTCTTTTCTCCTTCCTCCTGATTCTGATGGGCAATTATCTCGGCAACCCTCCTGTTTCCAGGGAAGAGAGGATCGCACATGGGTGGAGATGGTCCCCACCCACCCTCTTCCTCACAGAATTATTCTTGCTGGTCAAATGTGATAAAATAAGCTTTTGTTCATGCAATTAAATGCAATCGTACAATATATTAATGACTACAGTACAATATATTAATGACAGCTTTTTTAAATACCAGTAGATAAGTACAGGACTGTGTTATAGCAGTGCAAAATGGAGATGCTAAATCAAAATCCCAAAGCAACTCACCAGAGAGTTAGTTATAGCAGATAGTCCTTCTATCACTACCAGAATTTATTTAGATACAGCCTTCAATTTAACTCAGGGATTGTCTCCTGATAATAGGGGAGGGCAGAAGTGGCATTGCTGAGAGTTGACACCAGCATAAACAGCTTAAAACAGAGAAAATATTCTTAGTTTCCCTTACCTGCAGAGAGCAAAATTCTATTCATAGTACACCTGGACCTCCATTTGTATGCATAATACCTGACTAGAATGTATATACATAAAATGCTAATTGACTTGTTCTCAAATAAATCAGAACAAACTATATTATTGGGATTTATATGCACTGGATTTTATATCTGTACGTATGTCCCATTCAAGGATTCTATGATCCACAGATTTCCTTCTAGTGATTTATATGCACTGGATTTTATATCTGTATGTCCCATTCAAGAATTCTGTGATCCACAGATTTCCTTCTAGCTCTGCGGTTCTAAGATGATGATGATGATATCACCAAGGGATAAAAAAACGCGGTTCTAAGATGATGATGATGATGATATCACCAAGGGATTAAAAAAATATAAAGAGGACTACCATTTTGAAACAGATCATTCTCGAAGACCCTGATAGCAGATTTTTGCTTCAATAGCAATGCTCAACTCAAAACCTACAGGATAATGTATCTGAATTGCCAAACAGTCTTATTGAATGTTTCTGATACTTACCCCAAAGCTGTGTTTTTCAAGGCTTCAAAACACATGGTCTCTTTGAGCTCAATTTGATATCACCCCATGTATGACAATGTGTAATAGACAGTGAGTGTTGAAACAGCTGACTGACAACTTTTTTGTTTCTCCAGGGACTCATCTGTATAGTTACAAAAGTACTGTAGCCTATTTCTCAGATCAGATTAAAAGTTTGTTCTAAACTATGTAACTTGTCAAATATTCAAGAAGGAAGCCAAATCAATAATGTACATACTAAAAGAAATTCCAAAACAGCAGATATTAAACATACCTCTTTAAACTCTGCTTTAAGGACAGCGTGTCCTAAACTAGTTTGCCACTGAAGTTTTCGACCACTGTGTTTTCCAAGATAAAACGTTTTAAATATTTCTTGCAGCTTAACCATCTGCAATAATGTAAGAAAACAAGAAGAAAATCACTACGGACAAAGACACACAGACATAGCACCGTAAGATTTCATCCCGTTTCTCAACATTTTAACTACATTTGGAATGTAAAGAGGCTATCAGTTAAGTAACAGTAACATTTCACTTGCAAAAATGGAATTTGACTTCAAGAGGGAAGAAAGCAAAGCATATTATGAAAACAGTAGAAGGCTAATCTGTTCCACTTGTACTATTTACTTTGTTTATTTTATTATTTCAATACAAGAGTTGGGTAGACTTCAGTGGCTGAGATTCTGTTTGTCATAGAGTTGGAAGAGACCATGGAGGCCATTGAGCCCAACCCCCCTGCCCCCCCGGCCATGCGGGAACACCCATCAAAGTACTCCAAAGAGATGGCCATCCAGCCTCTGCTTAAAAACTTAAAAAGGTGACTCCACCATCCTTCGAGGCAGCCTATTCCACTGCCAGACAGCTCTGACTGTCAGGAAGTTCTTCCTATTGTTCAGATGGAATCTCTTTTCCTGTAGTTTGAAACCATTGTTGCAGGCCCCATAGGTTTCATTGGGAACCTATGGGACCTGCAGGATGGAGAAGTTTTTAGTTTCCTAAAATCACTGCTGCCACTGAAATCCTGGTGGGTGGGGTGGGCTGGGATCAGAAATGTTTTAATGTCCAGAAAATCATTGTGTCTGATGCCACCATCAGCCTTACACAGTGTGGCTCCTATTTTCTCTTTAAAATCTCCAGTGAATTTAAGAATATTGAAGAGGCTCATTTCATCAAAGCATGGCCATTTTATGATCCAGGAAAATACACAAACTATCCTTGAGGATGTGTGCATTTCTGTACTATATTTTTTTTTACTTTTCTGCCCAATAACTGGAGTAAGTCTGCATAGTGTATTGCCAGAATGTAGCATATGTGGACATGAGTCATGGAGTGGACTGTATTTTTATATGATCCCCTATAGGAAGAAGTTTTGTATCAGGAAGGTTAAACTTTCTTCCTGATGTAACAGTTTTCAACATGCAGGGGTGGGTGTATGTTCAAATATGCAATCTCTCCACTTATAGTTTGAGGTTACATAGTCCTGAAAAAAAATGCCACATGTGTTCTTTGCACTACTGAGTCATCCCTGTGTAGTGGTATCAAATGGCATCTTTTGAAGGCATATGCTTAATTAGGAGTCAAAAGTGCTTGTTCCTTAGTAGGCATATGCTAATAAAAGTTGACAACATTATCTAAAGAAAGTACGTGCCAATAGGGGGACTAACAGATCTTCTTAAAGGCTTACCTCTGGAGGTAAAAGGACATCCATAGGTGTATATGTTGGCCAGTATCCCATAGTAAGTATATTTACTGTTAAGTCTATATTGCCGGGGTCACTTTGATTCTGCACATACTAGGAGAAATAAAGTGAAATTAAAGCATTTGAAATCATGCTAATACAGTGTTAAAAGAATTCATCTACATTATTTTCTATGGAGAGAGAGAGAGAGAGAGAGAGAGAGAGAGTTTCCACTTCTGCATTTTCATCTAGGCATGTGGCACCATGGCTATACCAGAACTTTCCAGGAATGGACACAGCTGGCATACTTGTTTTAACTGTGCAAATGCACTTTTGGCAACCGCCAAAACCTGGGCATTCAGGCTCACAGACAAATCCAGGAGCAGCCCCGAACTGTGCACCTGTGTTTTCAGAGGGAGTGTGACCTCATCCAGCACAGGCTGCATCCCTATTCCTTGCTCTACTTTCAGACTGACCAGGAGCACCTCTGTCTTGCCTGGATTAATTTTCAGTTTATTCACTCTCATCCAGTCCACTACTGACACCAGACACTGACACAAAACCAAATCAGCTTCCTTGGATTTAGATGGCAAAGAGATACAGAGCTGAGTGTCATCCACTGTTAATCAGCCCCCTGCTTCTGGAGAGGCCCTGAGTGAAACCTCACCAGATAATGATCTGTCCCTGACTACAGAACTGCAGAGTTCCTCACAGCCAGACCACCAAAATTTATCCCAGTACAGAAAAACAAGTCTAAGGTGTGCCCTGCACCATGGGTGGGTTCAGATACCATTGGGGACAAAGCCGTAGTCATCATGGAGAACAGGAAGTCCTCAGCCATTCCTGACAAAGCTGGCTCAGCATGAATGCTCATAGAATCATTAAAAAGTGAAGTTGGAAGGGGCCTATAAGGCCATCAAGTCCAACCCCCTGCTCAATGCAGGAACACTGAGGTCTCCCAGTAGAACAAGCCAAGGGGATTCCACCACAATCCCCAAGACCAGCTCAGTTCGCTCAGGAAGGGAGAGTATTGAGCAGCAAGGTGGGTGGTACACCAGCAGAATCCCTATTCTTTCCTGGGCTCCCACTTTCAGAAACATAAATTCAAACCCAGAAAACTGGGCGTGTGGTATAATTAGATGTTGCTTGAAGAAATGTTGTCTCCATCTGTTCATAACTTACTATCAAAGATGTAATGATGGGTTTAACATGAACAGGTTATAATTGCAGGAGAGATGTATCAGTAGCCCTTAGCAATGACTGTGACATGCAACATGACTTCAGGCAATCTAGAAGAGGAGCCTTGAGTGCTCTTTGGATTTCCTGACTGATAGTGGTGAAGATCAGCAGTGGAGAAGAGAAAAAGGATCCTCCTCACAGCCCATTTTACCCATTCTATAGCTCTAGAGGGCTATGAATGCCAACTAAATTATTTTATAGCTGCATAAAATAGTTGTTCAGTACAAATAGTTGCTAATATGCAAAATAACATAATATAAAATGACTGAAATCCTGTTGGTGTAACTGTGCTTGCAGAAGGGTGATGTAATCAGCAGAGACAATTAAGGATTACATGGCAGCCCTGAACGTCTAAGAACAGACATAGAAAAATCATTCTTGCTGGTGATGTCATCAGATTTCTGTAGGCATAGTTATGCCAACTGGATTTCAGCCAATAAATGGAGCTTAAGCAAATCAATTTCATCTCTTCCCCTGCCCCCCCCTTACACCACTATACATTTTCATCTCCATCAGATTTAATTGGTAGGCTCACAAGAACTGATAGCTTTACAACCCCAGCTCCTGTAAATTTATCCTACCAACTTGCTTTGAGCACACAAATTCTTGACAGACTGTTGAGTGAGGGGGATGTTTTCTAAATTGCATGTTCTTTTAATTAACACATTTATAGACCTGGGGATACATCCACTTTTATGTCCCAACTAAAGTAGACGTACTGAATCAAAGGGACTGATGGAAATCTCACTACATCACTGCAACTTGTATGGTTTTACCACATGTGCTGATTTATCCATTTCACTCATATTCATTCCATGAGTCCACTCCAGTCCAGATTAACAACCAGATTAACCCTTACTCATACGATGGCATTCCCTAATTGCATAAAAGCCACTACCTTATTTTCCAGTGACCTTGTTTGGCTTCCGAACTGATAGGCACTCAATCATTTGAGTTTACCATTGGAAGGATTGCCCTTATGCAGAAGTGGAATGCTTCTGAATTGAGGTTGCTGAGGAGCAGAACAATATCAAAAGGAAGCTGCTACTTCATCCCTCTTTTATGGCTGGCCACTGTTGGAAACAGGATGTTATACTAATTGGTTCTGACTCACCAGAATTCTTGCATTATGTACGACTGTGCTTTGAAAGAAGTTCATGAAATGAGGCATTTTAGGTGATCAACAGAGCTATGTCCAAAATGAAGATGAAACAAGGATTCAAATAAATGCTAACAAGTTAAAATACTGATATAATACATCCTTGGTTGCATCTCCATTTCCTTGGACTATAGAAGTCAACAGCTCCACAGTCCTGCATTTTGCCCTGACTAAACTGTGTTTTATTAGATGTCCATGAACACTATCCATTTAGTGCAGAAAAGAAAATGTAGCCTGGCACACAACAAGACTTTGCAGGTCAGGTGATATCTAAGCTGCTGAAAATCCATTGTACTGTGCAACTGAAGTTAAATTTAAAAACCTACCTGTTTGAATTGGACCATGATATCTTTAGAAAGTTCCATATCCTTAAACATCCCTTCCAATTTACTGGTGAAAGCAGCACCACATTCTAGTATAGGAACAAGGTCAGAAAGATGTCATGTATGCAATGACTTGTGAATATTTAGAGATTTCATGAAGACACCACACATTTCAGAAGCATTAAAAATACTTTTTAAAAACACACAGGCGCATTTATTTACAACAGGTGGGCAGCTTGCAAAGTATCCATGGGGTGCCCTATCACATGTTTGACATACCCCAGGAATTCCAAGGGCCATAATTACCTTTTTCCTCTAAAGTAAAAGAAAACTATAAAGGTACTTCTTAAACCGAAAAAGAAGAGGCTATTTGGGGCCTTTTAAAGATACTCTCCCCAACAGTGCCTTAAAAATAGTTGAGCACTGGAGTTGTACTTGTCCAAGATTTAGATCAACTGGGGGGGGGGGCAAATGGGAGCCCAGAGGATCCACCAGAGGGAGGGCTTGGCAGGCTGCATGTAATTTGTGAGTTGCTTAATTCCCACTATTAGTCTAGAGCAGAGGTCATCAACCCCTGGTCCGTGGCCTGGTGCCGGTCTGGGCTGTGGAGACAGACCTTCCTCCCCGCACTCTCCTCCCCAGAGCTGCTTTGCACACGTGCCATCGCTGTTGTGAACGCTCCCCCACCCCTTCACCCATGCGCCTGAGCGCCTGCATGAAGGGGTGGGTGGGCGCACGGGTGGGCATGCAGGCGTTCCTGCGCATGCGCAAAGGGGTGGGGGAGCGCTCACATGTGACTCACTGGTCTAGTCACAGATTTACAATTAAAGCAACAATACTTGCAAATACTTACCATGCTTAAGCTTAGATAACATAGACTTCTCAGCATCTACTGACGCACTTTTTCCAACCAAAAGTCTTTTGGCCAAATCTTTTTTATAAAAAGCTTCAAATACATCTTTGCCTGCACAGAGAATATTAATAACAGTGAATGGGGGAAAGCATGTCAAAGTACACACAATGAAGTTGAGGATTATTCATAAGACACAAAGAAATGAAAAAAAAAAACTACACAGACTGCATTTTCCTCAAACTGCTCAGTTTCTCCTGTTTTATACAGAAGATCAAATATTCCCCCCCCAAAATTCTTTTCTCAACCTTGTGCAAATCTTCGATTAATGCCCATGTAAGTGTTCTTTTGAAATACATTCATAGGTTGCCTTTTGTATTGTCTTTTTTTCACTTTGTCCTTCATTTTATTTATGATATTTTAATTTGCACTTTAACTTTGATGTTGTATTATGTTGTTATTTTATGGTTTTGTTACTCTTGTAAACTGCCCAGAGTGGCCCTGGCTGTCAAATGGACAGTATATCGATCAAACAAAGGTAAAAGTAAAGGTTCCCCTTGACAATTTTTGTCCAGTCGTCTTCGACTCTAGGGGCCGGTGCTCATCCCTGTTTCCAAGCCATAGAGCCAGCGTTTTGTCCGAAGACAATCTTCCGTAGTCACATGCCTTAGACACGGAACGCTGTTACCTTCCCACCAAAGTGGTCCCTATTTATCTACTCGCATTTGCATGCTTTCGAACCACTAGGTTGGCAGGAAATGGGACAAGCAACAGGAGCTGACTCCATCACATGGATTCGATCTTACAGCTGAAGATCTACAGACCTTACAGCACAGAGGCTTCTGTGGTTTAACCCGCAGCGTCACCACGTCCCTTCCAAAAAAACAAACAAATAAATTTTGCCTGATTTGAGTTAATTCAAATCCACCCTGCTCAGAAAGGCTGACTCATTTCATGCAAACTTCCAACATACATATAACTTAGTGGTCTGTACTACCAAGCCTCTTTTGCTGACAGCATTTCAGTTAACATTTTATTAAAGTAGAAAAGTATGGCATGTTTCGCAAAAATGTTTAAACAAAGCATTCTTACCATGAATAAATCTAAAGATTATCATGATTTTGTCAAGGATCCTTTCCAGTTCTTCATCTGTTGCTTCCTTATTTCCAGCTCTTAGCTTTGAATCCACATGCTTTGCTAAAAATAGTTGACAGTACAAAACTTAAAAATAATCACTTGGTTTCCATATATTAAAGTAGTTATTTTGGAACTATATTAAGTATTTACAAAAGCTAAAAGAAAACATTTTATGCCAACAATATAAAAGCTAAAAGAACAATTGAAAGAAAAGAAAGAGAAAAAAACAGAAGGAAAGATACTACACGGAGAAATTAAAAATCACTTTAAAAATCAGTACAGGTAAGCTGCTTACCTGCATGACAGTCATGCCATGCAGTCTGTGCCAAAAATACAGTAGTTACAGGGTTTAATAATCAAACTGTATGTCTGACAAAAGGGAAGTGCAACAAGGGAACCCAGACGAAACAGCTGGGCATTAAAAAAAACTTTTTTTGTGAAAGCATGACCAATATTAATGGGCACAGTACTTCAGAGATAGAGGAGAGAGGAAAAAGAAACCCAAAAGAAATCAAGCAGCAACGGTTAGGAAGTAAGGGAGAAAAAGAGAGCGAGCTATATGTGTATTTTTTAAAAAGCAATAAGAACAAGCAGTTTGAAATTTGTATAGTAACAGACAAATAACCAGCAAAGAAAACCAAAGAAAATATGTGTTCAAAGAGGTAAATGAAAACAACTATAAAAGCTCCAGAACACAAATAAAACCAGAGGTTTTTACTGAAGTAAAAAGGACAGTTTCAGAGATCACTACCAGGTTAGCAGCAGTGAAAGGCCCTATTTAAATAGCAGCCAAAAGTGGCAGATAAGGAAAGCTGATCTGATGAGAGGCAGAGAATGCTAGATGCAACAGAGAACAGCATCTGGAAGCATTGCAGCATTTCTTCATTACGCTTTCTTTAGTAGAATTGTGTATTTAGGGTTTTTACAACCCTAAAAATTAAAATATTAAAGCTCTAGGATATGTACAGCCACTGCTTATTGAGCGGTGTCTGAACGTTATTATTGCCCAGCTATCCTTAAAGCTTATACTGTAGCATTTTCCAGCAACAGGCCTGACAGCCAAAAACCAGGATTAAGCTATAGACTTAAACTAAAACTATAACGAAGGACATGTCCTTTGCACAGAACAAAACATCTTATATGAGAGAGGAATGAAAAATGAATATTGATAAATGAGAGCACAGAACTCACAAACTACTCCTCTCAGTTAAGGAGAATTAAAAACATATCTCAAATCCTTTGATATAGATAGCACAAATTGTTTTTAAATACTTCTCCAGAATTCTCATAAGCCATTAAAAGATCTTTGAACCCAAGGGATATGGTAGGCTGTGTCCAATACAAATAAATTAAATCTGTGACTTCTCATTTTTAATTAACAGAAGCTGGCAATTTCCTCAGATATTTTATCTCACACTTTTACAATTACTCACCAGATCATGGTAGATAATTTCCCCTTAGTTGTTTAGAAACAAACTACCACCACCTGCTAGACAATTAAATTGAGGTTTTAATAACAGGATATGGCTGAATTGCAGAATATTCTTAATCTGAATGTATTTTCTGATTAAGAATTTACTGTGGACCTCTGAGCAGCCTATTTGCGTTCACTTGAAAATTGGGAAGCACTACGTTTCATTATTGCTTTTTGCTCCTAAAGGGCCAATTTCAAATGTGATACTGAGAATGGTATTCAAGTAATGCTTCTATGTTATGGGAGTCACATGTGCTCTTTCTTAGATTTGGGTGATGATACCCAGACTCAAATTTCTTTTTAATCATATTTAGAAGAACAAGTGGAAATGCTGAACTGCTGTTGGGGATGACTAAAGAAAAAAAAAGAGGCCAATAACGGAGGTTCATTCCTGACAAAGCAGAACTGCTGTTGGATAGTTCATCTGTCTTGGATGGGGCTGTGGTCCTCCTAAAGCAAGATTGGAAACCTCCACTCTCTGTGGAAGAGGTATATAAAATTGATTCCCCATCCAGTCATGGACCTTATCTGCAGTCAATGACAACAGTATATAAAGAAAATGTGCTGCTTATATACCACCTCATAGCACTTAAAGCACTCTTTGGGCTATTGACAACTTAATTATGTGGCCTACATATTGCCTCCGCTCCAGCAAACTGGGTACTCCATTTACCAAGCTCAGAAGGATGGAAGGCTGAGTGAACCTGGAGCTGGCTACGTGGGATTAAAGTCAGGTCATGAGTAAAGTTCTGACTGTAGTACTGCAGTTTAACCGCTGCACAACAAGGCTCCTTGAATGCCAAAGGGGCATAAATATCCCCTAGAACAGTGGCTTGCAATCTTGGGTAACCCAGATGTGCTTGGACTGCAACTCCCAGAAACCCCAGCCACCACAGCTGGTGGTGAAGGCTTCCTGGAATTGCAGTCCAAAAACACCTGGGTTACCCAAGATTAGAAATAGCTGCTCTAGAATAAAGCTTTGCATTGCAGCCAGGAAAGTTGTTTCATGGAACTGTATGGAATGCTTCATTAGAAATTGTCCACATTCATAAGAATTGCAACATCTATATGAGGCCGCTGGGTGGGGTCATCAGGGGGTGTGGAGCCCGGTGTCATCAGTACGCTGATGATACCCAGCTCTACATCTCCTTTCCACCTACTGCAGGAGATGCCGTTCTGTCCCTTCAGCGCTGCCTGGGGGCTGTACTG